CAATAAAATACTTATATATGGAATGTAACTCCATCTTTTTGTAAATTTGAAGTATTAGACTTCTTTTTTACACGTTAAGCGTACATATTGGCATTTTTCAAAGATCACTTACAACGACGGTAACGATTCTTGTAATTATATATAATGGACTCTGTGCTTGTAATGACAAAATCGATTCCGTAAACAGTCTTAATAAACGCACAAGATTTTTAAATCCAATACCTGCGCAGAGGGGAATAGTCATGAGGCGAGACCATTACGTTGAATGGTCCATAAATTACTGCATATGAAATGGTCTAAGATAAGAGTAAAGTTGGGCGTTATAGCATACAACAGATAATATATTTCATTATATATTTATAATCAAACAACACATTAGAATAATCGAACATTGACTATTTTAATATATTGATTATCGTTGGAAATCGCCATCTAACAAAAGTAACAGTAACAACCATCATTTTTGTTTAGTTTACGGTCTAACCGTCATCGGCCGAGAAACAGCATAAGGATCACGTATGGTTTACACTAATTTAAACTCTAAGACAACACTCTAAGAGCTTATCTTACAAACACTAAAGTATAAAGATAAACAAATATATTTGCTTCTATTTCGTTCATTGCTAGCTGTTGTTGTGCCTGTTGTTTAAGTTTTTGGCTGTTATAATATATTATAGTATGTGTCAAATCGATGGAGAAAAACGGACAATGACCTTTCGGTCGTTTAACCAGGGGTTACAAACCTTCAATATATAGGCATATTTTATATGTAGTACTTTCTTTATTTATAATGATTTTTTTATTATTTTTTATAATGATTGATATAATAGATATTTATTGACTATTATTAAAAAGTTATGTAAAAGATCGCTGTAGAAGAAAAAATCATCCATTGTTATAAAGTACTCTTTATTAATTTAACAACAAAAAGCATTAATTTATAACACATATAAAGATTCGAGTGATAACGACACCGAATAAGTACGTACTTATTCAAAAGATAAAACTTTATTTTCAATATTATATAAGAACTTTATTTTTATTCAGTGCATGCGGACCTGCCCAAAAAAAGTGACGTATCTCTGGCTGCCATTGTCACGTTACTTTTAGAACGAACTGACGTAATGCGCGTTTTGTTTATTTTAAAGGGATGAATTTGCAAAAGCTCAATATGGTGATTATATTGCTTCAAATATTTTTTTAATATGATACTGTTATTAAATGAATGGAGAAGATAACAAGGTTAAAATATTAAACTTTTAAGTACGTAGGTAAATTGTCTTGACGAAACACATAATTCTAGTTTTATTTCACATCGATCGGTGCACTATTACCGAAGTTATAAGCGTGGAAAATTTACGTACATTTTTAAAATCTCGTCCGTTCCCGCGAGTAGCGCGTGACGTCATCGATTCCATTTCCTTGCGGCCGCGCCGCAATACCGTTCCAGCGCGCCGATCATACGTTTGTAGTCATTGAGTTTAATATATAAATCAATGTTTGTAGTAATATTTCGCGTGTGAGTTGTTTGCCGTCGTGCGCTCTGGTGTTTTTAAGTATTTAATGATGGAAGAAGGGTTTCAAAAGGACAATATGACAACCTTCCAATAGTCCGTGACATGATGGTGGCGGAATATTTTCTAAGAAACAAAAATTTTGTCGCGGCTGAAATACGCATAAGATAATATTTTATAACCTAGGTACCCATTATTATAATAAGTATAATAAAAATACGTAAACATTCCTTACCTACCTACTTACTATCTGCCTCTAACTAGTTTTTTTTTTATAGAATAGGGTGACAAACGAGCACACAGTCCACCTGATGGTAAGTGGTTGCTGCGGCCCATAGGACATCTACATCTATCCTCCATTAAAAATCAAAATGCAGATGCGTTGTCACCCCGTTGAGGACTGAGATGGAATGCCTCGTTTCCAGTAAAAAGGGTCTCCGGTTCTCTACACTCACCATACGAAATACAGCAGCATTAAGCTACTATTTCACGCTGGTATTCTGTGAGAGCGTGGTCCTTCCCCGGTCGAGCCGACCCATTCGCGCTACAAAATTACATAGTTTTATTTTCTTATTGTTCATAAGTGTACCCTGAACTTTTTGTGGTTTTTATGGTTAAAAAATTCCTGTTGTACTATATATATATATAAAGAAATTTACTACAAATATACCTTCGTTGTATAAAAATATGATTTTATCTAAAAATCAGATGTTTTCAATATATATATATATATATATATATATATATATATATATATATATATATATATATATATATATATATAATAGATAAATATAATAGAAAAAGGGTCGCATTATTATTATGATTAAACGCGTAGTTATATATTCTTCGGGCAAGGGATCAATGTCAATATTATCATCTAGAGTAGTAACAGGATCGACAACATATCTATGCTCAATTTCTTGTGAAGTAGTGGCAATCGCATGTGCAACTGTTTCTGACCTAGATTTGGCATTTAATTTTGATAGTAAAAATCTTTGTGGTTTTTCTGTATACCGATTTTGACAAGCAAACTTGTGAGGCAAAACATCTTTTTAAGTTTGAGGGGACCACCAACTAGTTTTGTACTTCACGTAGTTTTCCATATCGTTTTCGACCTAGAACGAAATACAAACTTATTTAAAATCTATAAAAAAATAAGGAACCTCTTAATTTGTATTCCATCAATATTTAAAATATGTACCAACTATGTAATACATAAAAAAGGACAAAACGAAAAAAATTTAAGTGCTCCACTTCATAATCAAACTTCTTCCATCATTTGCGGCCCGCAAAGTATGCAGGTTGAACAGCTCTGCGATGTGTTTAGTTTTTGCTCGAAATATCGTAAAAATATAAAAACGTGTGTTAACATATTCCATATTTTAACCTTTATATGCATTATAAACATTTTAAAATTTGCTGCAAACATAGGTAGGTATCTAAACTTACGAACTCACGACAGGACATTGACTTATCTACATTACATACGTAAGTACTTTACCCAAGTTTGGATGTTTATTTACACTGAAGTAGTTTTAGTTAAATATGTAGGTATTAGGTATTGTTTCTTCTTGAAATTATAATGATCATTAAGCGTAGAAAGGTTCAATGAATCATTAGTTACTTAAACACTGCGACTCGAGTAGGTACCAACATAGAAAGCATTTACTACCAATAACCAAAAGCTATCATGTGAAGATTATTATTATTTGAATACTTACATCGAAATGATCACAAACAACAATATGCTACCGTGTTTGGTCCTAAAGGATGTGCTCTTCTCATAGCATTTGTCCATTTATTTCTGAGGGTAGGGTTTCTAGGCACATTAAAAAACAAATCTTCAGGTGTTTTTGTGGCCGTATTTTTACATTGAGAAACAGCACAATATTTAACAGATGGTTTCATGTTCTATAATGTTTCTTGTTAAAAATATATAGCAAGTGAATCCGAGTGCGACGGGCATATTCGAGTAAATGTTTTGATTTTTTAGTGCGTGTCGGGTCTCTCGCACGAAGATGGAAATCGTGACGTCATCAACGATGTCGCTCTCGGCCCGCGGCTTAGACCGAAAATGTTAACTTTGCACTTTTATATCTCGGTCAGTTTTGAAGATATAAAAAAAATTAAAAACACGGTTATTCTCGTAATTTTTTTGTAGATTTCTTTGGCACATAAAACAAAAAATGGTTATCTTCTCCATTGCTGTGTTACCATAAATTGAAATATAAAATGTAACACATTTTTCGCGATGTACCGTACGATTTCGCGATGTTTATAGGAACCACAGACAATATTATTTAAGAAACAAAAAAACAAAACATTTGTGCTGACCTAGAAGTGTGAATAATATCAATATTTAATTATTGTTATCACATCTAAATTGAGATTTTGTAAGTTACGCCTTTTGACACTCGGCTTATATCTGAGGTCATTGTCCGTTTTTCTCAATCGATTTTGCACGTACTATAGTGTTTAGTTAGCAGTCTAGCTGAGATGACATTCACAGTGTTATCTGTTATATACGTAATGTGTTGGTAGCAGGTGCTACATATTACGTGATGAATCTATTGTTGTTTTTGTTTGTTTTTCGTAAAGCTTTATACCTAAAGTATAATAAAAGTAGAATATTTAGGGTAATATAGATAGGATTTTGCATGTTGTATATAAAAGTGCATAATAATGTCACGCCAGTTAAAATCAAAATGTACATAACATCAATGACCTTCTAACTACGCCTGAATGAGTTATTTTTTTAAATGTTTGAAAATATGAGTATATAATTATACAGCTTAACATACACTCATACAGCCCTATGCCTATAAAAAGTAAGAAGGGAAGTTCATTGAATTTAACATACAAATTTGAAATGATTCTCTTTATTCATGGAACACTCAAAGGATGCTAATACAACTAAAAAATGTTTTTTAATCTTGGCCTGTGTGATATTATAACACCCATCATAATCATATTTATTATCGTTATAACAACATACAACAAAACGCTAATAAAGCTGACAATTAAACTGAACTAATCGCGTGTACAATGTAATATTTGAAACTGTTACAATATATTATAACAATTTAAAACAACAGTTAGAAAAATATATTACATCTTATCGAATTAGGAAAACATAACAGTTTCGCCCACCTTTAGGTAAGCGTACATAACTATAAAATCTTCGTATCTGATTTCAACAGCGTATCGGAGTAGAAAAAAATATAAACGCATACGCAGAATATCTAGATATTTAAATATATCGTTTCGATATCAGATATTGAATCTCGAAATCTGATATGGATACGATTTTCAAAAAACGCGATAAGACCCTGGCCCATTGATAAGCTATCTGTATCTATATCTCTATCTCTAGTATATATACAGCAGTAATCTGTGCTACCTCGTTTGACGGTTTGACGTCTCTGACTAGTATATATAATATCTTTATCTGTGGTTTGACGTATTGACCTTCTTTCTCTGTAGTGTCACTTTGTGAAGGTACATTTTATTTTTCTGAAAATCTGATGTAATCGTGTTAAAATATTTTAATTTTCTTGATAAGTGTTTAAATTGATCGTTGTTTACTATTACTGAACATAGTTTTTACTGTATTTCAGATCACAATGGGGCGCCGACCAGCGAGATGGTAATTTTGGTTAAAATAACTTTGGTGTTACACACTAGGCTACTAAGTTCTAAAGTAACCATTTTCTTGATTTCCAGCTACCGGTATTGTAAAAACAAACCATATCCAAAGTCACGGTTTTGTCGTGGTGTACCAGACCCGAAGATTCGAATCTTCGATTTGGGCAAGAAGAAAGCTGCTGTGGATGACTTCCCGCTATGCGTGCACTTGGTGTCGGATGAATATGAGCAGCTTAGCTCGGAAGCACTTGAAGCGGGTCGTATTTGCTGCAACAAATACCTCGTCAAGAACTGTGGTAAAGACCAGTTCCACATCCGCATGAGACTGCATCCCTTCCATGTTATCCGCATTAATAAAATGTTATCGTGCGCTGGAGCTGATAGGTGAGTCTTTATTTCTATGTATTCTATCTTAAAATTTTGTATTAATTCTTTAACACCTTTAAGTTATTAAGGCAGAGGCGAAATACGGTAAATTACATGAAAAAAATTAAACGACTATAAATTTTGGTCCCTCAAAGTTGGGCTTGACATTAAAAAGCTAGTAGTGGTTATGTCAATATCATGAATAATATTCATGATATTATGTTCACCAACAAGTCAATTAAGGAAACAATTTAAAATTTATTATCAAAATTTTAAAATTTATTATAATAATCTAACATTTTGTCCTTTTTATCATATAAATTCAGATTATGTGGTAGTAAGATAAGATAATGACTGGCTGTTTTCCGCAACTACACATCTAAGCACAGTTTTAGCATGTGGGCAGGTATAATACAATTATTGCAACAGTCCTTTGATTTGAGCAACTTCGTGGAGTAATCCCCGCATACAGAAATGTTCAGCCCTGTATGCAGCGACCTTCAGAGATGTGAGCATCAAGTGAGCTGCCGTTTCTTCCTCCCCCATACATGCCCTGCACGAAGGACTATCTGTAACACCTATGGTTAATAAATGTTTGTTAATGGTGCCATGTCCTGTGATAACACTTGTTACTATTTTAATCATAGGCTTGTTTAGTCTCATCAGAACCTTGTTTAAACAACTATTTATTTCAGGCAGGCGTCCCTAGCTTGTCTACAGTCTACAAAATTTTCCAAAGTTGTGTGTGTTGGTTAGTGTAGTTTTTACATACAAGTGCACAAATGTTACCTAAGGGGATGAGGTATGATTGGTTCTGGCCCTATAGTGGCCAGAGCCAATCCTCTCCTAGCCAGTTTGTCTGTGGCATCATTGCCCCTGGATCCACTGTGTCCCTTTATCCATTGCACAGTCACATTGTTGTATTTAAATACCTTGTTTAGTTGTTAATGGCATTGATGTTTTAGTCCCAAGTTTACCACATTGCAACTCTGCTTGTAGAACTGCCATGATGTCAGGCAGTATTCTGATGGAGGAGTCTTTTACTTAGCATCTATTGCTATGGCCACTTGGATGATACCCATACATTGTGCCTGAAAGGCTATGTTGTGGGTACCCAGCGGTGTACATATGTGGATATTGAGGTCTTCTGAGAAAGTTTCAGATCCTGTACCTTAATTTGTTATGGAATCATCTGTGAAAATTCAGTTTTTTTGGGTTTAAATCCTTCAGCTGGTTAGTTTAATTGTATCTTGTATTTCTTATCAAAAACAAATTGTTTAGGGATTTTATCGTATTTGGCTTGTAAGATGGGAATTTAGAGTAAATTCTGTTAACTATACCTGTATGGAGGGCGAACTAAGGCCCTGTTTACATTTTGATAAGTGGCTATTGCGAGTGACAACTGACAAATGGCAAATGAGAAGTGACAAGTGCATATTTTATTCCCACCAATCACTTGGCACTGCCTGTTCACATGCACTAAGCACTCGTTATTTGTCAGTTGCACTTGCCACTCGCAATTGTCACTTCGCAAAATGTAAACTGGGCCTTATACACTTATTCCATTGATTTAGGGTCTTGTAAAATCAAATTGATTTGTTTTCAATGGCCTCTTCAATCTTTGTTATTACCTGGTAACGTGCCAGTTCTGTCAATTTACCTAAGCTGTAGGCATGTTGCTTATTGTGTAGCGGTAACTTCATTAGCTCCTTAATTTCCTTTCACACATTCCTTTCTATCGTCTTTAGGAGAAAGGATGTGAAGCTAATGAGTCTATAAGATGTATAATTACCTGGTGAAGTGCAGATTCTATCGATTTACCTAAGCTATGGGTATGTTGCTTGTCATGTAGCAGCAGGCCTCTGTCACTCTTGCTACCTGAGTGAAATAATTACCTAAAATCGCGACGCACCCAGTGCTAGTATGTTGTAGGCAGTTGAATGTTAAAGTATTTAATGCTATTTATGCAAATAATTTTTTGTAAATACTTGTTGAAATAGTTTTTGTTTAATGTTTATATATTTAATTGTGGGATAAAATAGTTAAAATTTTTTAATATAATTTAAAAATTATGTATATTACCCACCTATTTGATAAATTTTAATGGCAAAATATCATTCCTACTAGAGATGGGCCGAATATTCGTTTTATATTCGGTATTCGGCATATTCGGCAGCTTTACCGAATATTCTTATTCGGCAGCTTTACCAAATATTTGGCTAAATCATCGAACATTCATTAAAGTGGTCCTCAAAGTGTCCACTGTATTGAAATGTACGAATTGAGTAATGCCATGTCTTTCTTAATTTTACTGTTGAAAGTATATTTTATTTATGGGTTAAATCTACTTGTATAGCATTATGTTTTAGAGGCACTGTAGATTTATTTCTAATTATAGCTAGTAGAAAGCAATTTTTTTTGTTATCAAACAACTTTGGTCATCAGTTTCTCTAAAAATAGGTCCAAATGGTTTTATTTGTTATAGAATAGGGTGAAAAACGAGCACATAGTCCACCTGATGATGAGTAGTTGCTGTGGCTCATAGACATCTACATCTATCCTCGATTATGAATCAAAACGCAGATGTGTTGTCACCCGTGAGGACTTAGATGGAATGCCTTGTTTCCAGTAGAAAGGGTCTCCGTTTCTCTACACTCACCTTAACCCTTTCGGACCGGCGCCAAAACTAGACGGAATTGATCCGGAAAAAAAGTCACACCTGCCATAAAATGAGCTGCTAATTGCAAATCTGAGGTCGCTTTTCCATTTTCCGGCCGCCATCTTGGAAAATTGTAGCCCACACAATTGTATGATCAGGGGCCTAAGATAGCAAACCCACAATCATGAAATCGCACAATTGGATCAAGACGGGCCAAAGCTTACAATATATTTGAAATAAAACAACATTTTAATTGACGAATATATTGTTTATTAGACCAAAATCAACATAATTTCAAATTTAAACATGCACAATCAATAAGTATTCATAGAAAATTAGTTAACAATTACCTCTTATCAGCACTAATCAGTCTCTAAAGTGTAGATTCAGTCTTTAAGTAATTATAAATGAGATCAATCAAGTAAAACCTTAGTTATGGAAGTCATAAAAGCAATTTCTGTCCTTTGTGAGGCACAGATAAACATCACATTTAGAACATCGACAACGTGTTCTACTGGTACACTTTATAGCGCGGCAGACTCGAGGCTCTTTCAAGGTATCCATGACTGGCCAGTGATTATAACCATCTCTTTCCTTGTCAACGGATGGTAGAGGCTTTGGACGATATCTTGAAGAGCTGGGCACTTCTGCAAACTCTGGTTCTCGATTATCTCCAGCAGCCCTTGGTGAACCTGCTAAAAGGTATTTACTTACACTTAGACGAAAAGTCAGGAGGTCTAGGATGTCCTTAGTCTTCATTTTGTTTGCCCTGCAATCTTGTCTATACTCCATCCAAGAGTTGACTATGGACAGGTCAAACAAATGTAGGATAACCTTAACTGTCCATTTTCTTGATTTAATCCAAGTTCTATAGGTTTCCATCATCTGGTCACAGGTGTCCACTCCTCCCATAAAAGCGTTGTAATTTTTTACAACAGCTGGACAGGAAACCTCGATGTATTGCCTTGATTTCTTTTCCCACCTAGGAACAATGGATACGGGTTCACTACCAAAGGCTGTCGAAGTCATCAACACACCTTTATTGTCCTTCCATTTTAGAATACAGATCTTTTCATCAGCGCTCACAATCTCTTCATATTCACCTCGTTTCATAGCCGCATCCTTTTTAAATTCATACTTTAATTTTTTTTTTGTATTGAAACGGTTCATCATCAAAGTTCCTGTTCCATCCATATTTCTTTTCTGGAGCTCCTGCATCAATGGCAAAGATGAGAAGTATCTATCAAAATAAAGAAAACTTCCTTCTGGTAGAGTGCTGGCTAGTCGTAAAACGACAGCAGGTCCCATCCCAAATTTTTCTGAATCAGGTAAATTGGTAGTGTTTCCTTGGTAAATTTCGAAATCTAATACTTTCCCTGTGGAAGTAGTAACGACGAAATTTTTCAAGCCCTCGGGGCGGGGTTTATTTTTTACAACCACTTTTACCCCCGCGCACCTTCCTCCAAACGGAACCATCTGTTCATCAATCGAATAGTGGATATCTTCGCGGGGCAGCTGCAGACAACGATTACGTACGGAGTCAATAACAGGTTGAACTCTCCATAGTTTGTTCTTTGCTTGCTCCACTTCTTTGTTCACGCCATGAACATTTATAACATGCAGGTTTACCCTTAGGAGAAAAAATCTATCTCTCGACATAGCACTTGCTATGGGGTCGAACTTATAACGCTGGTTCCAAAACAATTTGATTCTTGGATAACTAAAGCACCCCATTAAACCGTGGATGCCAAAAAACTTTTTGATTTCCCCAGAAGTACAAACGGGCTTCAACTGATGTCCAGTTTCAGTCATATAATACTGATTAGTGGCTAGCGCAAACTGTTCCATTAATTCCAGCGTGAAGTAGCGTTCAAAGTATTGCGCATGGAGTTAATACTGCGTGTAGTTTAGGGTCTGAGACCCCTGGTATCGGTTTACCATGAAATTTCTTCTTCTTCCATTGCAAATTTGACAGTGGCACGTCTTCATCGCTGCTACTTGAAGACTGAGACTCAGATGGAGAAGGAATACTAGTTTCTTGGCCTGGAAAAGGCATGTCCTGCAGCTCTTCATCATCACTACCCTCATCCCCGGAGCCATTTAGGAATCCCTCAATCTGGTCGTCGTGTAAGAACCGTGCCATTATTGTAAAAATCTGCAAAATAAATAAAACATCTCTTAGTGTCTAGGTTCGATAAGAGATAGCCTTCGCCCCACTTCATACGATTGTGTCAAAAAAGTTCGGTAACTCGTCACTGAAGCTTATTTACCAATTACAGTGTAAAAATCACAAAAGTCGGTGAAAAAAACATTTAAGTGATGTTACGTGCAAAAAAACTTTATAAATAAATAAGAAATACTTATGTAATTCTACTTACATTCACCAAAGCCAGGACCGAAAAAAATCGCAGTACTAGGCAGGTCGCTGCCTGCTGGCCAACTGACTGACGCGCGAAATTCACACACAAGGTAAAAGTTCGGCTCACGCGCAATCGTGTGAGATCGAGCCCGTTCGTATAGAATAAATAGTTTTTGAACAAAATTGAATCTAGTAAACCACACAATCATGTAGGGCCATTTCTGAAAGGGATATGTAACACGGCAGCATTATGCTACTATTTGACTGATATAATATCTCCTGCCACTCATGAAATTAAATACTTTTTTTCCTTACAAAAATAGTCAAAACATAAGCATGGCACCAGTAATTTGCTCATTACTAAATAATGCAATAAAATGTCAGGTGTGGCGGGGGAGCGAGAGGCAAGGTCCGGCGCTAATCCCGCGCATTTTATGGTATCAAGTTTCGACATAAATTGGTTAAATACCGAGGAGATCCATCCGAATAAAGTTCGTTCGAATATTTCGATTGGTAAAAGTTTTTCCGAACCTTCGGCCGAATATTCTATAATTATTCCTATATTCCTATTCCTATATTATATATAATATAGGTTAAATCCATATGCAGCCCATCTCTAGTGCCTATTATAATTGTTGCGTGGATAAACGCTAAATGACCAACACATTTTGTTGATATATCTGAGCTAACCGAGGAGAAGCGACATTTCTGCTGGGATGAAAATTGCAATATCGCATTCCAGGAGCTCAAGGACTGTCTGTGCAAAACACCTATTTTGGGATACCCTGATGCAAGCAAAGAATTTATAGTTGACACAGACGCAAGTGATATAGGACTTGGCGGTGTGTTGTCTCAACGGAATGGTGACCAAGAAGTTGTAATAGCGTACTTCAGCAAGTTGTCAAAACCGGAAAGGAACTATTGTGTCACAAGACGCGAATTGCTAGCTGTGGTAAAGTTGTTGCAGCATTTTAGCAAATATCTTCTAGGGCGGAAATTTCACTTACGAACTGACCTTGTTGCATTAAAATGGCTATTGCATTAAAAATCCAGAAGGACAAGTTGTGAGGTGGATTGAACTACTGCAGGAATACGACTTTGAGATCGAACATCGCAGCAGGAAATCTCATGGCAACGCAGATGCATTGTCAAGAAGACCTTGTCCTGAAGATTGCAAACATTGTACTAGGCAAGAGAGTAAGGAAGTGGTATCCGTGAGGATGCTCAGGACAGACCACCTCAGCAACGAGTTGAAGGACAGCTTACAACATGCACAGCGGGAAGATCTGGACATCAAGCCGATTCTGCAATGGCTGAAGGGCAGTGCTCCCAAGCCCACATCGTGGGGTGACATCTCAGCGATGAGTTTGACCACTAAAAGATATTGGGCCCAGTGGGACAGCTTGCTGCTTCGGGATGGAGTTCTGTGCTGTAAATGGGGAAATGTTCGAGGAGACAGCTGTCATTTGCAAATAGTTGTCCCTAAAGCTAAAGTACCGGATGTTCTACAGCTGTAACATAATGATTGTTCAGGAGGCCATCTGGGAGTTAAACAAACTCTACTGAAGATCCGAGAACGGTTTTACTGGGTCCACTGTCGAAACAATGTCGAGGTGCATTGAAGTTGTACAATGTTGGTGCGCCATGGGAGAGCCATTGACGTGGCGGGGCCGTTTCCGGAGAGTTAAAGTGGTAACAAGTATTTCATGGTTGTGATGAATTACTTCACTAAGTGGCCAGAAGTCTTCGCCATTCCAAATCAGGGAGAGCGAAAGCGACTCGATTGTACATGCATGTTAAAGACATCGAATTACTAGGGAGAGCGGATTGGCCAGGAATCGGATCACTGGGGTCTACTATATAGTCAATATTGGAATTTTCATCTGATAATAACTTCACAAATTTTTCTGATTTACAGGCTCCAGACTGGGATGCGTGGTGCCTTTGGTAAGCCGCAAGGCACTGTAGCCCGTGTTCGTATTGGCCAGCCTATCATGTCGGTGCGCTCCAGTGACCGTTGGAAGGCGCAAGTAATTGAAGCTCTACGTCGTGCTAAATTTAAGTTCCCTGGCCGCCAAAAGGTATGACATGACAACCCTTTATATATCGCTGTTTTTTCTGGTTAAAATAATATATGTATTTTCTTTCTCATGATAGCTTAATAAAGTAAATTCTAATGTTCAATTATTGTAAACAGATCTATGTGTCCAAGAAATGGGGCTTCACAAAGTACGAGCGCGAGGAGTTTGAGAAGCTGCGTGAAGAAGGTCGTTTAGCCAACGATGGGTGCAACGTCAAGTACCGTCCAGAGCATGGACCACTTGACTCATGGAGGAAGGTGCAAAATGAAATCTATGCAGTTTAATTTTGTGTTATGCATAAATAAACAAGATTTCTAAAATTGTAGTATTATTTACATTGTGTTTAATAAATTATTGAATTCTACACACACTACATTACTTACACCTATGTTACATAATATACCAACAGTTAAGCATAACATTATGCATTAAGCTGCGACTACATGCAATGACTTGCATGCGCAGGTATTCGCAATAAACATGCGTGGCGTCCACACGCCGTCTTTACATGCTTGCTTTGTGCAACTTTAGTGCGAGCAAATTAAGTAATTGTGCAAGCCATTTGTACGGTATACCGTTTTGCCGGCACGTACATGCTTGTGCAAATTAGAATTTGTGCAAGTAAGATAGAGCGCACAGCCGCAGCTTTTAACCCGTAGACTCGATTAGCATACACATGTGTACCATACATAAACATCGTACGCTCGCTCGATCAAGATACACATGTGTACCACAAGTACTACCCTTTGAAAAATAATTTTTTTAATTAAAACAAAACCAAAGACACTATGCAATAGATAATAGTATCAAAGACAAAGATATGCTCTTTTATTTTAAACCATAACCTGGCAATGTTTCTTAGAAAAAAAAAAAGAAATCACTCTGAACTTCCGGCGTTCCACGTGTCACATTGTTGAAGGGGCTCCATCTTTTTTTATAGAATTTTATATTTGTGTCTGGACTAAAAACGAAAGTATTATACTTTTTTATATTCCTTGTAATATAGTAAACACGTAGATAAGTAATTTGTGGTATAAAAAGTGAAAAGTAAATTGCCAAAAGTACTTCAAATTCCGGAAAGCCCGTTTTGGCAGGTGAGTTATAAATGTGTTATTTTTCAAATTCTCATTTATTTTTAGTGTAAAATGTAAGTAAAAATAGTTTTCGTATATATTTCAAATAACATGACGTTGTATTTATTTCAAATTCACACAAACATATTTTAGAAATATTGTTCGAAATGTCATACAGATAAAATATTTTTTTTTTTTTTAATTTTTATAATATTTTAATATTTTGGTATGAGTAACGAATGGAAACACATAAAACATAAAAATATACATGTTTCCAAACATTTTCATATAAATTTCTCCAAAAACAAAAGTGTAGAATTCAAATTAGTAGTAATTTTGGCACTAAAAGTGAAGTATATACTACTACTTATGCTATAAAGGGTAATTTATGAATTTTATTATAATTTCTAACAACCAAAATAATTTTATTCAATAGTTTATACATTCAACAAGAATTCCTGTAAGTTTTATCCATAAATATTGTCTCAAAGTGAAAATATAGCAAAATTTGCAATATAGCAAAAAATTTGCTAATTTGCAAATTTTCCCGCCAAAAAAGGTCGCGAGCGAACGGGAGTGCCATATTACGCGTGACCTCGCGAGCTAACAGGTGAGTGGGGTTTGCGTAGAGAGGGAACAAGATAAACGGCTCACCTGATGGCTAAAGCCGGATTTCAATGGAGTTGAGAACAGAACAGACGGCACGGTGTCAGTTTTCTTCATGGAAAAAAGAATTTCGACTTAATCATTGCACTGACATTCCTTTATTTCAACACGAATCGACCGACACGTCTCGCGTGACACCACGGCCTTACAAGGGATGCCGTTGCCCCGCGCGAAACGCGTGTTACTTTATATTGTTAAAAGGACTGGAGTGCTAAGTAATTGAAACAAGGTTAAATCTAGCCCTTTGCGCCAGCAATCTCAGTGACTCGCGAGCGCGCTGTACACGAGCGTGTCTTAATTTGTTTGGCATACCGCGGGATGCCACAGGATCCTTAGAAATGCCGAAATATCCCTTCCCACACCGTGTCGTCCGTGAACGCAGGCCCTAAAACTCACTAAGGTTTTTAGTGACCAATTTCACCCAAAGGTAGACGGGATTATTCTTAATTAATGCAGAGATGAAGTGCCTTGTAACATGGTTACGGCAGGTCAGGAGCACTACCCCTGAACGAGTTTACGCCTTTTGGTGGGAGAGCTAAAAGAGCCGTGGCTTGGTCCATTGATTACTTTATATACAGACGAAAGATTGGTAACCCGCGGTGAACTAGAGGAACCCAAGTAACTGCCTTGACCTATTTTAGGCGGCTCAAAAATCGTCCTTATTACGTAGGGGCGGGCGGTTTAAAGGACTGACGCTGATAAACGTCGGACGCATCTCATATTTAAACGCTGACGCCGATCGGCGTTTTCCGCACAAGAATATGATTTCTTGCTTATCTATACAGAATTTTCAGTATTATTGAAATATAACCAGGGATTGCAACCTTTTTTCAGATTTTTTTTAAGTTAAAAATAATAACAGTATTTATTCTACATACTTTTTTATATGTACTAAGTATAATAAGTAGTGTTTTCAATTAGTAGTTGAAGGGAAGAGAAAACATTGAGAAGGGTTACATAATATATTGGACTTACATGCTATTTTTAGTGCATCGTAATTTGTTTGACTTAATAATTAATAATGACTATCTCTTGAAGGAGAGGCTCGACTATCGTCACCGTGTTTATTGAGTGACGGTGTGAGACAATTTGGTTTATAAAACTCCCCATTGTTCCCTGGGAAACTCGCCTCATAGCATAATATGTTGCGAGGCACATTCACCCTTGGGTTGTGACATGGATCCTTTAGAAGAAAGCTTTACTTCTGTTTTAGTCTCCATGGTTAATAGAGGTGCGCCTTAGCGCGTTATGTTTATATTTCCCAACGACTTTTGCATTCGTATTCCGGACTTTATGATTTCTTACTCTTATGACAACTTCGGATAAGTGTGAACGGACTAAACTATTAGAATGTAAGCCACATACACGTCGTAACACCATTCTGCGACAATCACTGATGGACTACTGAATACTGATTACAAATAATAATCATATTAACGCAGCTAAATGTTTAACTATCAACTATGAAATCAAGATTACTCATAGTATAAACCTATAACTGTTTTTCCTTCAAGCGCCATAAAAATACACTTAAAACCATTAAAACTTATATTTAGAGACTACTTTAAGAAGCTTAGCATTATAAAATCTATACAAAATTCTCTATCTTGTAGTCTAAACAAAATAAATAAATAAAAAGTATTTATTTGCCACACAAAAATACAATATTAAAATTTAAATAGAGAGCTTATTAATTAGCTGTGACAAAACGGTCTGTGACTCAGTTGTAACGGGAAACCCATTACTCCTGCTATTCTGCCACAGCCTTAGCGCATAATTCATACAGGGTCTTAGGCAATTGTTGAAACACACGTATTAACAATAAAAAAGTAAAGATAAAAATAAACCAATTAATAAATTATAGTTGCTCAATACAAATAAAAACTAGTCCAATTTGAGGGGGTATCAAAGCCACATAGAGCCAGGGGCTGTTTTTGAATAAGCCACTTGCGGCATTTTTGTCGGAAGGTAGACCGGACTGGTGATGGCAAATCGTTCCAAATTTTAGCAGCGGCAAATTTAAAACACCCCGTGGCTCCAGCGAGTCTGATCCTGAGTAGTAGAAGCCGATGACTATTTTCTCTGACTGAAAGCAAACTTTTTTTTTTCAACGGCTATCTTATCATACAGATATCTTGGAGACTGCGTGATGCAGAGTGTGAAGAAAGCAGGAATATTTTAACTTAGTATTATTGCTCATATTTAAAATACCATTACTGACCAAATAAGGTGAAATCCTATCCCTTTTCGGTATATTAAAACAAAAACGCATACATGCGTTCTGCACTCTGCACATTCTTCACAGTTTTTTTAAATAAGCATGGACCATAAACAATATCACAATAATGAAGGTGGCATAGTACTAAACTGTTACAAAGCAGCAGTCTTATGTCGTATGTACCGTAAACCACTACAACATTGCCTCTCATATCCAACTTTGCCTAATACAATAATTTACCAATAACATCTGAAATATGCCATGTAGCAACATCAAACTCTTAGTAAGTTTTTTAATCATCATTTGGCAACTCAAAAACCCAGCCGCCATGTTTATAATTGTAGAAACCACAAGACAGTGATCTGTCAAACGCAACAAGTGTTAGCCGGCTTCGACGTTTCGCGATAAACTTTTTTAGTAAGTATAAAATTATATTAAATTTCCACACAGTTTCAATACTTATATGTTATTTGTATGTTTTACTATCGTTTTGAATTAATTTTAATTGTTTTTTATGATATACAAACAAGTGATGTATGTTTAGGCAAATTTGTCACAATGATTTCGATTTAGTATGCCCAACTTTGCCATAGGTAGGGCTGTCACTAGCTACTTTAATTATATTATATGTAAAATGCTGTAAAATTTTATAAGTAGATATATTATAACAAATCATCTTTTTCGTGGATTAAGAATGTCTTTCAAATCAGACGAAAATAATAATAAATACTATAAACTAAGTATGGTAGTGTAGTGGCGGCATAAGAGCCCAATCCCTTTTATCAATGCGTGGGTGCCTAAAATACGGGCTCAAACTATCTTCCTGCTTGTTAAGACATACCAAGTCGACACTTCATCTAGTGGGGGACTGGCAGTCCTAGCCCGTATTCTTTTTTTATATGAAACTGAAGTGGGAATCAAAATTACAGTCCACTTGATGCTAAGTAGCTAAAGCAGGCCATATAGTGGCAGTGGTCATGTTGACATTTTCTGGAGTATACCTACTTACAAATATAAAAGGCTGTGATCATGATAATGAACTGTTGTAATTTCGCGATTATCTTTCAGTTGTGGTTTCTTTCTTTTAGATTAAAAATGAGGAACAGAAGAAAGCCAGGGTCCAGACGTTACAAAGATTACGAAGATAATCTTTTAAATATTGCTGTAGAGTTGGTCAAAAATAAAAATATTTCAAGTTACGAAGCTGAAAAGCAATTTGGTATCCCCCGACGAACCATTGCTAATAAAGTTAAATTGAAACATATGAAAAAAATTGGTTCTCCATCTAGGTTAAGCAAAGAAGAGGAGGATAAAATAGTAGAAGCTCTTATACTTTGCGGAGAATATGGTTGTCCATTGACTCGTTTTGAGCTGCGTATGATTGTTCACAATTATTTAACCAAAAATAATAAACTGTGGATTTTTAATGATAAACTACCTGGTGAACGGTGGGTTCGAGAGTTTTTGAATCGACATAAAGAAAAATTGACATTGCGCTCTACACAAAACATAAAGAGCTCACGTGCTTCCAAAACAATAACTGAATATGAGGAATATTTCGAAAATCTAAAGAAAAGTCTTGTCAATGTTAAAGCACATAATATAGTCAATTTCGACGAGACAAATTTAACTGACGACCCTGGATCGCAAAAGTGTATTTTTAAAAGGGAAAAAAATATCCAAATAAGATTTTAAATAACTCTAAAACTGCAATATCAATCATGTTTGCTGCCACGGCATCAGGCGATCTTTTTCCGCCGTATGTGGTATATAAATCTCTGCATTTATGGACCAATTGGTGTGAAGGTGGGCCGCCTGGCACCAGATTCAATAAAACAAAATCCGGATGGTTTGATGCCGATTGCTTTCAAGATTGGTTTGAAAATATAATTTTACCTTGGGCACAAAAAAATGGGGAACCGAAGGTATTGATTGGAGATAACTTATCCTCACATTTAAATATACAAATAATATCTAAATGCCAGGAAAACAATATAAGATTTGTATTTCTACCTCCAAACTCAACACACGATACTCAACCCCTTGACGTGTCTTTTTTTAGACCGTTAAAAAGATCTTGGAAAAATATTCTTCGAGATTGGAAAGTAAGACATCCATCAGCCAGTGCACTAAACAAACAAATATTCCCAGAATTACTCCGTACGTTAATTGATGCAATAAAAATGAATACAGATACAATAATTAGAAACGGGTTCAGGGCGACAGGTATTCATCCCCTACAACCAGAAGCAGTATTAAGAAAATTACCAGATTACAAAGAAAACAGGGAACCACAAACATTTGACGAAACGCTCTTAAATTTTTTGAAGGACTCCAGGTCACCGTCTGTTTACAACACTGCAAAACGACGCAATAAAAAAATTTGTACAAAACCAGGGGAATCTGTTTCTACCGATGATTTCAGATTGTGTGCAAATAATTTATTGGATACTAAACCATCGAATAATTCATCTGACGATGAACCATCGACCAAAGACTTAGATACAAATATCAATTCCACTATTTCGCCAGGAACTAGTGTCTGTGTAGACAAAAGGTTACATATTTCAAGAGATCGCTTTTTGTTCCGTAAGTCAGCAGTTAATAAAATGAGTACCGTTCCACAAAGAAAACAAATTAAAATATTGTCAGATATAGTATTAAATTCATCAAATAAACGAAAAAATCGTAGTTCCAGTAGTTTGTCGCTATCTTCATATTCTCTACATGATTCTTCTGACGATAGTCTTTTTGTACCCTCTAATAGCGATACAGAAAGTTTCCATGGCAGTGATTTAAATTTAACGGAAGAAGATAACTATACTGATGATAAAATAGGAATTGGGGATTACGTTTTGGTTAAATTTTTAAGCGGCAAAAATGCCAAATACTATGTAGGTAAAATAATTGATTGTAATAATAATGAATTCACGCCTTTAGTCGAAGACATATCGGTAATTACGCGGCTCGATATTCAAAAAAAATTACCTAAACCCATAGTTGGTCGTCGTGGTGAATTAAAATTTAGTATAGACTGCAAAATTCCAATGTCAAATATTTATTAATTGGCTAATTCGCATGTTATTTATAAAAAAAAATATAAAAATTGAAAGACTACTAAGAAGAGAAAACCAAAAACAAATTACGGGTGATATTATCGTTAAAAGTAATTATAATTATAAAGGATATTAAGCGATTGAACAGTATTATTAGTAACTAATTGTTACCGTATTTAATACTCTTTTAAAGAAAATTTTAAATTCAAATGTATATTTGTTTCTTTTTTTTGTTTGGTAAAGTGACTATTCCTAGTGCGTCAGTATTCATGAGAGCTTAACTTGATCAGACATTGGTACTGCTGACTTGGGGTCGTCTGTTTAAGATTTTGTCTCGAAAATGTAATTGAATCATTTTTTGTTATCTCCTGCAGAAGAGTTATCATCTGCCCAAGATATTATTTGATTAGTTTCAATGTTAATCAGACAATGAAAAATTTATATTTAAGGTTTCTCTTATAGATTTTAATGTTGATTATTTTTATAGAGAGTAATTGAAATAATTACTCAATAATATTATGTGGACACTTCAATATTTTTTAATAAACATAATTAAATAAATTTTATTTATTTTTACTGCTCTGCATTTGCGACAACCCTATGCAATTTTAAATAATGTATGAAAATATCAACAAATTCAAACACAACATTGCCTAGCTTTGTTCCAGGTGATATAAGCAAGAGAGACTATTTTTTCAAATGTTAATCCTAAGAACTATTAATAAAGTTTAACTTAGTGTGCAAGAATAATGTCTTTACGTCATTTTTGGCGTCGAAACTGAGGCAGGCAATGTTACAATTTTGTGGTCCAACTTTGCCTAGTGACGAAAACTGTAACATTTTTAAAAAAAAGCATACATAACAACGTACCAAGTACACTTCAGTTGCAAACTAGACTAAGCTTAGTACACAGCCATATAAAGTTGAAAATGAATTGATATTTTGCGAGATATATGCAGGTGTAATATAAAACTACGGCAAAGTTGCAGCATCTTATCGGTAGTAGTTTTAGAAATGAGCGAATTTTATTATATAAAGTTTTTAACGAACCATAGCATTTGCCGATTTTAGTCTGAACATGTTGCTCAAATTTTAAATTCTCATCCATGAGGAGACCTAAATTGCGAACACAACCCTCGTAAGGTATGACGGTGTCAAAGATCTCAACAAGAGACTTACGTTCATTAATTGTTTTTACCTGGTGCTTTGTTCCAAGTGTGATGGTGACACTCTAAGGGATTAAGTACCAGGCCATGTTTCAAAGACCACTCCGCAATAGAATTAAGATCTTTGTTCAACTTGGAAATAGCAACAGCAACCTCCTCATTAATTGGCGCTGTGTGAACATATACTTGGCTGTCATCAGCATATAAGTGAATTTTCGAGTGAGTTATAGCTTTAGTAACGTTAGCCGTGTAAATTGCGAATAATGTGGGACCAAGTATTGAACCCCGGATTATACCTTTATTAAGGGGGAGCGTGTTGGAGATATTTAGAAGTCCTTGGCTATTCAAACATTGCACTCTTTTGCAGCGATTATAGAAATAAGATTAAAACCAGGTGCAGGCAGATTCTGTGAAACCATAGTATTTTAATTTTGCCAATAGGACAGATATATCAACACAATCGAAAGCGCGGCTGAAGTCTAGCAAAACCATAATTGTTCCTTTACCCTCATTGGACGCAGCAAGCATATCATCAGTAATATTTAAAAGAGCTGATACTACTTGATTACGTTCTAGATAAGATGAAATTTGATAAAGAACGCATCTTTCAACTATTTTAGATAGTGCGGGAAGAATGCTTATTGGTCTTATATCAGAAAGATTATCCACCATTGATTTTTTAGGAATGGGAGTGACGATGGCACATTTCCAAGATTCTGGAAATACTCCTTCCAATATAGATTTATTGACTATCGCCACTATCGTTGACAAAGAATATGGAAGCGTAAGTTTTAACATCAACATGGAGATGTCATCAGTTCCGGTCACATTAGTAGCTGTAGAAGCAATTACACTTTTCACTAACGTTTCATTTACGGCTACAAATTGATATTCGTTTTCAGAGTATTTAAGTGATCCGATTTCTTAAATAACACTTTTGTCGGGAGGTGTACATGATATGGTGTTTTTAAAGTGATTATTAAGTGAATCAGGGTCAAGAAGATGGTCCGGTATGGAATGGTTTTTTACGGCAGGTGAAATTATTCGTTTTATGTGACGCCACATCTGAGAAGGATTTGATCTATTATTGTTGACAAACCTAGTAAAATACGCCTGCTTTTATAGAGTAACTGTTCGGTTATAATAGTTGCGCAGATCAAGGTAAAATTGCATACTACTTTGCGACTTTCTAGTTTTGGCCCGGTGACAAGCCTTTTCACGAACTGACTTCATTTTTCTAAGAGTATCAGTCATCCATGGGGCTGCGGGTAATTTAAAAGTGCTTATACGAACAGGGGCGAATGAGTCCATCAAGTAAATGACGAGATTGTTAAAGGTATTTACCATATTATCAATATTATCTTGTACTAGTACCAGCTCTCATGGCGTGTATTTAGCAGCATTGTTTGTAGCAATTGCGTTCTCAGCAAAAGGTCTATATGAAATTATACATTTAAATTGCGATCGGAAATTTTGCCGAAATTAGTCCATGATCACTAAGATCATCATTATATGTCACCTCCACAGAAATGGGCTTAAGATGTGTCCTAGTAAAGATAACATCAATCAGGGTACTCGTAGTAGAAGTGATCCGTGTAGGCTGGTTCACGATTTGATGGATATTAAATGTATCAGTAAGGGTCTTGAGACAATTAGGCGTATATGGAAGGCCGTCGTTGTTTTGACAATCAATGTTCAGGTCACCAACGAGAAATAATTGATCATATTGCGCTATAAAAAAGAAGAGAGACTCGTGCAAACAGTCTATAGCTGAACCAACACTCACTAATTCAGGACGATACGCCGAACCAAATACAGCAGTTTCACTACCTATTTTAACATTAAACCATATCTGTTCAAGTTCCCCAGGATGGTGATCTAAGCGCTTTGCATGTAAGTTAGATTTTATGTAAGCACCTACACCACCACCACGACCAATACGAGGGTTGTGCAGCAGTCTGTAAGTGTGCAAAAGTCAGGTTTTACTTCATTACAAAAAGGTTTTATTATATTTTGATAACAAAAAAAAACATACCGAGCGAATGACGGCAGCGTGAAAATCACAATTATTTCAATATACAATATGTAACAAAAACCCTGTGGTTCCCGTTAAGTGTGTTATCAGAATCAGTAGCCAAGCGTATAGAAACATTTTTTTTTTCAAAAAAAAAACGCATTTAATTGTTTTTATTTTAACGGAAAAAAATAGTTTGCAAATTGCATGTGGTTTTATTTCCTCTAACTCACACAAGTATCGGTAATGCGGGGTCTTTGACAATCCTCTTACTCCTCGGCCAATGCAAAGATAATAAAACCACATAAATTAATTTATAAATTAATTTTTTTTAAATGCGTTTTTTTTTGAAAAAAAAAATTATTTCCATATGCTTGGATACTGATTCTGGTAACGCAGTTAACGGGAACCACAGGGTTTTTGTTACATGTTGTATATATTACTCGAAATTATTTACATAAAAAGATAAATTATATTCACACAAAAACTTTCATTACAATTTTATAATAAAACACTAGAAAAATCCAACAATCAACACAATAACATTCACACGAAAATGGCGTACGAAATGAACGTAGATTATAAATAAATATTCATAGGATAACAGTTTTTATCCTATGAATATTTATTTAACAGCGCAAGAGGGTAGAGTATTTCATATTGCTTATATAATGCCAAACTTCTTCATAGAAAAGTAGTCTATATATAAGTTTTTATGGGTTAAAGTGCTGTGGGTGGGTGCGACCTCATGAGGCCGCTAGGGATTTGACGGAATATGGCCGCGATCTCATGAGACCGCTAGGGGGTAGAGAGGTTAATTCCATAAAATAAAATAGCTAAAATAAATATTTAATCAAAATGTTTTCAATGTTGATAACCTTTGGAAGACGCCGTTCGGCGTTTTCCGACCCTGAGAAGTTTTGTAGTTTTTCTAAAATCATTATTTACAGAGACGGCGACTATAAACATGTTGAATGTATGTTAAATACGCACATATAAAAAGTATATCCCTTTAGAATAGAAACTGGCCAAGTTATGGCCAAAATATAATTTGCTCCGATCGATTTCATCCGCATAAGAATGACAATTTAAATGAAGCCGCACCGCAACGAATGGATTGAGGTAAAGATCCGGTCTGCGGTGTTCACTTCGAGTGGGCTAGCCGAGCCTGCTCCTTGCTTCACGAGTTTCTTTCCGATATGTCTTGCGGCGTGAGGTGAGTGTCCTGTCTCATTATCGACACAGCTAAAGTGGAAAAGCGGGGAACAGGTTTGTGGATATTTCGATGCGTTACTCTCCCTACCCTTGGCGGTGGAGCCATAGACCAGATTCACGGTTTGGGTCAAAAAGGCTGGTGCTTCTGAGTCCTCGCTTTTTCTGGATTCTCCGCGTATCAGATTCAGTGGGGATCCGCTACGCAGGTAGAGGTGGAGGCCGCGGATAGAAGGCGTGCCTTGTGTTGTGGTGCATCTTACTACTTAATCTACTTACCTAAAAAGAAGTTTTCCTCACCCGAGTAAAGGCTGCCACGTTGTGGTCGGTATAGGTAAGTCGTCTTTTCCTAAGTTTTAGTCAGCGCGCGACCGCTACAAACCGTCTTTGCACCGCAATGCGGGTATGCGTAGACATTTCTCCATAAAAAAGGCCATGCGCACTCCATACTTTAGGTGCGAAACTACAAGTTCATCGGCGGATCACAGCAGGATGGTCAAGCGCTGCTCGGAATCCACGTAATCTCGTTGTTCACTAGCCCTATTGTCTCTTTAAGTTATCGTGTTTCTTAAGTCGTTAAAAAAAGTTAAAGTTACAGCCTATATACGTCCCACTGC